TGGCGGTGCGTTCAGGGGTCTTAGTAAAACACACTACGCCTGTAAGAACTCCGGTTAAATGCTGTTTTCCATAGTGAGGGAAAATAGCATTATGACGGCCCCCCCTCGAGAGCGGGCCACGGTGCGTTCATGGACAGAAGAAGCTCCGATTAATGCCTCTTTCTCTCTAAGAGGAAGCAGCATTATGGCGGAGCGCGCGCTCTCACGGGAGCGTGCCGTGGTGCGTTCAGGTACCTCAGTGGAAAATCTGCCGTTTTTTTCTCTGAGTGGAAACTGCATTATAGCAACGCCCGCACTCGTAAAGAGGCGCGTGGCGGTGCGTTCAGGGGCCTTAGTAAAACACACTACGCCTGTAAAGCTCCGGTTAATACTGTTTTCCATAGTGAGGAAAATAGCATTACGAGGGAGCGTGCGCTCACACGTGAGCGTACGGCGGTGCGTTCAGGGTCCTCAATAAATAATCGGCCCTTTCTGCTTCGACCCCCCACGGGCGAATCTCCCCTTTACGGGGAGTTTTGCGGCGGAGCGGGTCATCAGAGAGTATCACAGCTTTATAGCTGCGGCCCCACAGCTGAGGGCTTGCCCATTAACACAATGTTATGGGGAATGGAAACTCAGCTGTGTACTGACAAGGTGGATGGACAGGACGCTGAAACGGGGCTATTCACTCCAGTTTTGCAGCATCCCACCTCCTGTTATGGGCATGCGAGAGGTAAATCTGTCTTCCCAGGAGGAGATGGGTTTCCTCTCAGCAGAGATTCAGGCTCTGGTGCAGAAACAGGCTGTGTCTGTTGTGCAGCCTCAGCACAGAGAGAAGGGTCTTTATTCCATGTATTTCCTGGTTCTCAAGAAAACAGGGGAATTCAGACCTATTCTAGATCTCCGATGCCTGAATCGTCATATTTCCAGCAGGAAATTCCGCATGTTAACTGTGAAACAGTTACTAGGGCTTGTGCAGCCAGGCGATTGGTTCACCACCATCGACCTGAAAGACGCGTACTTTCATGTGGAAATTGTTCCAGAGCACAGAAAGTATCTGCGTTTTGCCTTCCAGGGAACAGCCTACGAGTACAACAGGCTGTCGTTCGGTTATTCCCTATCCCCACGCACATTCAGCAAATGTGTGGCCACAGCGCTTCAACCGCTGCGCGCACACGGCATGAGAGTTTTCTTTTACATAGACGACCTCATAGTCATGGCTGGGTCCCGGGAACAGGCAATGTTTTGCACAGCACAGTTGATCACACACCTAACCAAATTAGGTTTTGCGATCAATTGGAAAAAGAGCACCCCCATACCTCGCCAACAGGCGTTGTATTTGGGTGTGGTGCTCGATGCAGACGCGCTGCGTGCCACCCTGTCAGAGAGCAGACGTGCGTCCCTTCTCAGGGCGGTGCACAGGCTGCGACAGGGGGCGACAGTGACAGCTTTAACTGTCATGCAGACTCTGGGTCTCATGGCGGCTGCTCACATGGTGGTCCCGCTGGGGTTACTACATATGCGCCGCCTGCAGAGGTGGTTCCCCAGCCTGCGTTTGGAGGCACAAACGACGGCTGGTGACCATTCCTCCCCCCCCCTCGGTGGGGGCAACCTCCGGTTTTGGGGGTCTCCGGACCACCTCCGGAGGGGGTCTCCACTGGGACGGGTGACCTCCTACATCACAGTGTTCACGGACGCGTCCGGAACAGGATGGGGAGGGACCTGCCTGAAGAGAGCTATAGGTGGGTGCTGGGCTCTGACAGAGTTTCGATACAGCAACCTCCTAGAGCTACGGGCAGTCGTGTTAGTCCTCCGACATTTCATGCCCCTAATTCAGGGGAGACATGTAATGGTCAGGTGCGACAACAGCACCACAGTGGCTTATATCAACAGGCAGGGCGGAGTCCGCTCCGCCCCCTTGTTGGCCACAGCGGAGAGGCTGTGGTTATGGGCTTCAGAGGTGGTGTTATCTCTGAGAGCCCTCCATGTCCCGGGACTGGAGAACAGAGGGGCCGACCTCAGGTCGAGGGGCGGCCCCCTGCCAGGCGAGTGCTTCACCCGGAGGTGGTGAAGCAGATCTGGGCCCAGTTCGGGAGAGCAGAAGTGGACCTGTTCGCCAGCCGGCGCAACAGCCACTGTGCCCTGTGGTTCTCCATGGCCCTGAGCGACGACCCGCCCTTGGGGGTGGACGCGTTTGCACACGAGCCATGGCCAAGGAAGCTGCTATACGCCTTTCCACCGCTGCGTCTCATTCTCCTTCTCCTGGGGAGAGTGAGGCGAGAACGTCTGGCAGTCATTCTGGTAGCACCGAATCGCGTCGGGGCTCCGTGGTACTCAGAAATGACACAGATGAAGGTGGGCCAGCCCTGGGCGATCCCCCAGTTCTGGGGGGCGATGTCTCAAGGGGCAGGTCCAATCGGGGCGTTACCCACTCTGGGCCGTCCTCTTCAGGCTTGGCTCCTGAGAGGGACAGGCTGAGACAGGGTGGATTGTCTGACAGCGTTATTCAGTCTATCCAGGCAGCTAGAGCAGAATCCACCACAGCCTGTTACAGGCCAAAGTGGCTGAGATTCCAGCATTGGTGTGAGGAGCGGGGAATAGAGCCCCTATCTTGTGAGTTGGGCTCTATTTTATCCTTCTTACACTTACTGGTGGACAGAGGGCTGGCGCATTTCACAGTGAAAGTGTATGCAGCAGCCATCTCGTCCTGTCGTGAGGGTTTTTGGTGGCAGGTCAGTCTTTAATCAACCACTGATGTCGCGGTTTTTACAGGGGGTTAGGAGACTGCGCCCTGTAGTGCACGTCTCCACCCCGCAGTGGGACCTGCCCCTAGTGCTCGAGGCTCTGGCCTCGGGACCATTGAGCCTCTGGAGCTCTCCCCTCTGAAAGCATTGTCGTGGAAAACAGCTTTGCTTCTTGCCTTAACGTCAGCCAAAAGAGTGTCCGAGTTAACTGCTCTGTCGGTGCACCCGAGTTGTTTACTAGTTCGGGGTGGCCGGAGCGGCGCAACACTTAGACCGAACCCCTCCTTTGTGTCTAAAGACCTAAGGAGTGCGTTCAGGTCGAGGGCTATTCAGTTAGGGGGTTTTAGTCTCCCCCTCCATGGGGGGCCAGGGAGGCTAAACTGCACCTCCTCTGCCCGGTGCGTGTGCTAGCATGTTATGTGGAGCGCACGGCTGCCCTTAGACGCACCGAACAGCTGTTCGTGTGCTTCGGGGGCGGGGTGATCGGGAAAGCTCTGTCCAAGAAACGTCTGGCAGGCTGGCTCTGCGAGTGCATTGCACATGCCTACGGTCAGGCAGGGAGAGCCTGCCCCACGGGGATTCGTGCGCACTCCACACGGGCTGTAGCTGTGTCAACAGCCTTATTCAACAGTGTGGAGGATTTATGCACAGCGGCGTCTTGGTCGACGCCAGGCCTCGTTATAAGGTTTTATCTCTTGGACATGTCTGGCTCTTTCTCCTCGTCTGTGCTTGCTGGGGCAACACAGCATTTGTAGGGGAGGGGGGGGTTGTGGGTCAGTTGGCATCTGACCCCCTCCCCGGACGTGATGCGCCTTCACCTTTCCTGGGCCCTCTGAGGGTCCCGGGATAGGCAAGAGGCGCGCTGGCCTGTTACGGGCGGAGGGGCTGCCCCCCTCCTGCCGAGAGGCAGGGGGAGGATAGCCCCCCCACATTTGTAGTCCTCTCACATTCTGCATGGGGTCAGTGCTTGAGTGTGAGGCATGGGCGCTGGCGCTCTCCCTGTTATCCTTAGGGATTCAGGAAGGCAGGTGCGTAGTAAGCCCATACGGGGCCGAGGGGGCTCTCCCCATCCGTCTAGGGGCGGAGGGGGGGGGGGTCCCCCGGCACTGTTTTTTGAGCACACTTTCTGCGAGGCAAGCGCAGCAGGGTGTGCTCTGTCAGCCGCAGCCCAGATTTCTCCTCGGTCACAACCGGGTTAAAGGAGAGGGGGGGGCAGCAGCTGCTGACCAGAAAAGCCGGTCAGGGGCAGTAGGGTGGATTGGTGTTGGACGACAGTGCGCGTATACATCAGGGCTCCACCCACTGTACCCATAGAGTCCAGTAGAGGGCGGAGCCTGTGAGAGATATAACGCCGGGTTACGTATTGTAACCCTTGTTATATAAACACAGGCGGAGCCCTCTACTCAGGGCACTGTCTGTCCTGTTCCGCTCGCTGAAGAGAGGTATAGGATAGCAGTCAGGAGGCGAGGCCTCCTTTTATACGGTGTGATGCGCGCGCATTCAGGTAGGCCCGCCCTGGGCCGGCTACGTCTATAGAAGTCTCAGTGGGAGAATGCACGCGGGATAAGGTAGTACCCATAGAGTCCAGTAGAGGGCTCCGCCTGTGTTTATATAACAAGGGTTACAATACGTAACCCGGCGTTACTGCAACTGAGAAACCACAGGAAAATAGGCAAATAATATTTATTTAAGGCAACGGTATGTGATCTGATCTGTAAAATAAATCTGTGTTTTCTCTCTACCCATGAATTCAAAACAAAAACAAATATTAACAAATAATAATAATAACAAAAAAATACTGCTCTATACTTTTACAATTTCAAATAATGTCGACTCTTTATCTTTTATTAACACATGTCTCACTTTTCAAGAGCAACCTGGCCAAAAGGGCACGATATTCATTACTACAACAATAGACAGATATTGATTTCTTATTTTATGCGTTAACATATAAATAAATGACATTTATATTTTTATAATGTACTATAGGTTTAATCTGCTTCTCAGCTAGATGCTCTCTTTATTCTTTATGTGAAATTCACTTTGCATTGAATCCCATGTAACAGTAACACTGTTCAGTTTGTCACTGTCTAGTTCACCTAAGTGAAACTGAATATATGCTTCAGGGTCAGGCAATAGTGAATTAACTGTAATTTGTACAACAATACCGGAATTTATAGCTGTCATCTAAACACCAGCTATGGTGGCTGCTATTTAGTTTAAATGATAGACTGCTTTAATCAATACACTAACATAAATCTTAACGATTGACTATACCTGAGTGCTAATCTCACCTAAGTAGCAAGTGGCATCAGCTTGTCATCAGGTGTTTTGTGGAGCAGGACAAGGGGAGCCGTCATGTACTGCTGCTTCCCATTGATGGTGTTTGCTTTCAGTCCATCCAGAAGCTTGTAGTCACACAGGAATATGTTGCCTTTCTGTTTTAGAGAGGATAATAGAGGATGGTATTACACAATGTAATGTAGACATTGTTTAAAGTCCCAGGGAAGAATCCTGTAAGGGAGAAAATAACAAAGAAGTTGCTCAGCACTAGTTTGGGTTGACTGTGACTAGATAAACCTGAATGCAAAAAATAACAATATTTACACTGGAAAGTAAAAGACAAACCTGAGGGCAAAAAAAGTTGGATTAATACTGGTTGTACAATGAAAATGGCATTGGCAAAATATATAATATGACAAATACTACTATTTTTGTCAATTCTCACTTATTTATAAGGCTAATCTTTGCTAAAAGAATAAGATCATAAAGCATCTCTTTTACCTGTTAGACCAAGAATCCTTTGGTGAATGGCTCATGTCTGCTGATTCCTCTTTTTATACATTTATGGGAGTGTCATAAGCGATATAAATAGTTGGCTATGGTGGTGGAATGTTGGATACTTTCTATCTGTAAGGGAAAGTCCTCTTAGAAAAGTGCTTCCTCATTACGATCTGTATTTTATAATGACTTGTATTCACAAGATGTTTATTGGTTGTGGGTTCCTGGATATTTCACTTGACAAAAACGTGGTTTTAGCATTTAGGAGTTTAAGACCTCATTGTGTGTTTATGTGTTATCTGTATGTCCTAAGCAGAGTTGGGTGTAATAATATTACTTTTGTCGGTAACGGAGTAGTGTAACGCGTTACTTTTATAATTCAGTAATCACACTACAGTTACTAACATTGCCCCGACACGCGTTACTTCGTTACTTTTATAAAATCAGTCATAATCACACTGACAGACAAGAGGGGTTTCCGCCGCAGGTTTATATGTACGTAATCTGCGCGACTTGCACGTCCACATCTCCGCGTGCAGTGCTGCATAAACATGGCTGAGTCAGCGATAACTTTCGAGGGGTGGAGGTATGCCCATTATTTTGAGTTCGTCCGAAGAATAGACAGGAATGTGACGGTGAGGTGCAAACTGTGTCCAGGCCAGAAGCTGTTATCCACTGCTGTAAACACCACGTCAAACCTCAACAAATACCTGCAAAGAACACATGCTAAGGTGAAGCTAATAGCTAAGGACCCCCGAACCCAGAGTGAGGATGTTGTGAGTGCGCCGCCGCAAGAATTTGGAGGACCGGTAACCAAAGCAGAGATGGACAGGCTTGTAGCATCCTTCATAGTAGAGGTAATGTTGCCCATTTGCACAGTGGAATCACCATCGCATCGTTCAGAGATATACTGCGCAAAATACAGATAGCAGGAGACAGAGGACAGACATGGTCAGAGCTATCTGGATCAGTCTTATGCGACAATGGAAACTGAACTAAAGAGAACATTTGAAACTTTAGCAGTCTGCGTGATCTGCCTGCAGGGAGGGGCTGGCCGGCCCTGCGAGTAAAGTAACGAGTAAAGTAACGAGTTACTTTATATAGAGAGTAACGAAGTAGTGTAATATATTACTTTTTTTTAAAGTAATATGTAATATGTAATATATTATTTTTTTTAGTAACGACCCCATCTCTGGTCCTAAGAAACTAAGGATATCCATACATATTTGACTCTTTGTACAACAATACCGGACATGGGTGAAAAGAAGGTTAAGTAGTAGGAATTACATTATTTGCCAAGGTGCTACACAAAAGGAATCCCAGTTTGGCAAAGACTATGCAACTATTACAAAAAAATACACAAATCATGCGACCGTGTCTCAGGAGGTAGATGGTCTTCCAATTTGAAGGCCGTGTCGATCCATGTCGATGTGTCCTTGGGCAAGATACTTCACCCCAGGTTGATCCCTGAGTGCATGTTATGGCGCATTTCCACCATGGTGCGGAGCGCGCTTTAAGCGTGCCGTGTCGTGCCGTGCCCGTTTTTGGTTGCGCTTCCACTAGGCCTAGTTACGGCCCGGCCCGGCCCGGGGCCACTTTTTCACCTCTTTTCTGGCCCGACAAAATTGTGGTTCTATCGGGGCCAACAAACAGGGCTGAGTCGGGCTGAGTTTGCTAAACTAGAGAGAGGATCACTGGCAAGGGGGCTACAACTACAACAAGATGGACATATTTGACCGTGATTTAATTGTAATACACGTTTCAAAATGATGCCGAAGTAACAACATACTGATACCGGTTAGTAAAAACCATGAATTAATGCTTTGGCAAGTTTGCAGACAGACGGCAGGCGAAAAACCTTTTAAAATGCGTGTTTTCTAGATGGAGATTGGCTAAGCTAACGCAGTATATGCTCCGACCGTCCACACTCACAACAACGGCCTATACAGACATAAATAAAGCAGCGACTGTATTCACCCTGACACAGGCAGTCTGTGGTGTGTACTTGTTTAACTTTTGTCGAGTTTCTGAACATATATAAGGAGCTGTGAGCTCTGAGTGCTAACAGCTAACGGCTGTGTTGTTTTTCTGGGGTTCTCGTTGAAGATGACGTCACGGCTCCGCCTACACTGCGTTACTATAGTAACTACCCCAGTTCCTAAACTGTAATGGAAGCGCAGCATGAAGTGAGTCGGCCCTGTTAAGGCCCAACGCGGCCAAGCCGTACCGTGCCGTACCGAGCGTGGCCGACCGTGTGGTGGAAATGCGCCATTAGTACAGATCGCGTTCACACCGGAGTACTTTTCCCTGAGGGAAGATTACGCAAATGAGCCGCTGACGTCACTTCTTCTTCTTCTGCTTTGGCTTTACTGGCAGGCCACAAACCACTTCACGGCGAGTACAGTAGGTGGCGGTATGCACCTTAAAGTTGTTTGCAATCCGCTACAAAACAAGAGAAGAAGAAGAAGAAAAACTTCCCGCGTATACTGCAACGCCCATGTACGCCCCACTCGCTGTACATTAGGTGTCTGTTGTTTACCTTCCGACCTCAGACATGATGGAGATGGAGTCGACTGAAGTTGTGCTGTTTGTGCTCATGTTATACAGCTTTGTAACTGAGTTAATGCAGCCTGAGCAACTTGCGTACAATAACAAAACAAGCCGAGCACGAGTGGTGGTGGAGAACGCTTTTGGCAGACTGAAGGGCAGGTGGCGGTGCTTGATGAAAAGAAACGACTGCAAGATGGACAAGATAAAATCCAGGTGGCAGCATGTTGCATATTACATAACCTTTGTGAAAGTAATGATGAGTACAGGGACGAATGGACAGCCTTACCGGCGACCCAGCTTGATGGGCCAGCCATTGCCGAGGCTGGGGGGCAAGACACGCGCACAGCCCTTATGAGGCATCTGAACAGCGTGTAAATTGTATTTAGTGATTGAGTGAATTAGTTCCCTTGATCAGGTGGCACCTTGTATGGATGTGTATGAAGGGGTGAACGATGACTTATGTGAAAGTGCTTTGAGCAGTCATAACGAACAGTAAATCCCTATAGAAATGCAGTTAATTTACCATTTACCATCATCTGAACTTTTGCCAGATCGAAAAAATGTTTGATGATTTGATTAAATCAATTTGGCCACCCACAGCCAGAAGAATGGGGAATAAGGAAGTCAACTCGTACAAACAATTTTACATACAAGGAAGTAAGCCTACATTTTTCTCTTGGTTTTCTCTTTGTCCATGTGGGGGGTGGGGCATCTTACTTTACTTTCCAGAGCCAAAGAATGAAGATATGTTTTGCACCAAGCCGACTTCCTGGTAGAAATCTGTTGTGTCCTCACCTACTGTACACTTTGCCCTACATCGAAGTTACACACAAACACCCACACACACAAAATATATATATATATAAAGTATATATTCTAAAATGTTTTATATTTATTATGTATATATTCTTTCAACCTTTTTATCCTACACATGTTCCTTCTCCCTGTTGTTGCCGCTGCTTGGGATGGCTATGTCTTTCACAACGGCCTACACCTGTTCTTCAACCACAACAATATGTGTATTTTATCTTTGACCATGTATTGTTGTTGAAAATGTGAAAAATCTGTGAAAATTAGGATTAATATCATTTGACCTCCAAGGAGCGACAGGGCTCCATAGCTGAGATTGGTGCATTGGCATCTTGGCATCATCTTGGCATCATTTTCCTATTTCACGTAAACCAGATAATGAAAACTACCTCTTTTTAAAGAACATCGCCTGTATCCGTCCTTCTTTTTCCTTCACCGGTGCTGGAACTTTGATCCATTCATCCATTACATTTAAAACTTGATTACTGCAACAGCATTCGTTATGGTTCACCTGCCTACATTCTGATAAAACTTCAATATGCTCAAAACACCTCCACTCATCCCTCCAACCACATCAACTTTATCCTTTTGCTAAGCAAAATAATGACCGTTGCCGAGAAGGATCAAGCGAGAAAAGGAAAGACAGAGCGTTGGACGTGAGATATGTCAACAGAAAAAGACAGACAGGCGGTAAACACTAACATGAACACGGTATGGGTTTCTCTGGCGTTGTTTAAGGACTTGTTAGTTGAAAACAAACTGTGAACAGACTTGGACAGTAACAGAAAACATTGATCTGTGCTGCCGTTCATTTAAAAGTTTTTGTTGCAGTTCCAGCCATTGGTACGCCGTGGAACTGAGTTTTTTTAAGGGATAATGTGCAGCGAGGCTTTTTCAATATTTTTACTTTTCAATATTGAAAAATGTACATTATCCCTTACCTGACATGGACTCTTCACACTACCACCATCACCAAAAAAGCTCAACAGCGGCTCTTCTTCCTCCGCAGGCTGAGAAGGTTCAACATGGACTCCAGGATACTCTGCAACTTCAACAGGTGCACCATAAAGAGTATCCTGACTGGCTGCATCACGGCCTGGTACGGCAGCTGCACCGCCCTCAATCGTAAGGCTTTACAGAGGGTGGTGAAAACTGCACAGAACATCACCAGGACGGAGCTGCCATCCATGGAGGACCTTTACTCCCAGCGGCTCAGGAAGAAAGCCCTCAGGATTATAAAAGACCCCCATCACCCCAGCCACAAACTGTTCTGTCTGCTGCCGTCTGGCAGGCGCTACCGCAGCATCCGGACAAAAACCACCGGACTCAGGGACAGTTTCATCCCACAGGCAATAAGACTGTTAAACACCTGA